ATCTCTTATCGCCTCACTACAGCATCCGTCTGTCCTAGACAACACAGACTACGTCATTGTAAGTGTGTATCATACCAAGTCTCCAGGGAGGGGGGAGGGGTGTCAGATGGAAAAGTTTCACAGACACGTGTGTTTACTCTTGTGAGAAGCGACAAACATGAATCAATTTGCTCCTCTCACACGCAGATTCTGCATTTTTACCGCCATTTTGTAGCGATGTTTGTACAGAGGATTGTTTATTCGATGTCTCGAGGGACATCGCAACGTTGCTAGTGACAAGTGATTGTGAAACTGGTGGTGAGGACACATGATAAGGTTTTCTGAAAAATCAACAAATCGCAGTATTTTTTTGTTTTGTTTTTCAATATAGGGTGTTCATTTTAAATTAGACAAGGTAACTCGCACTTGTGTCTTTATAAATATACATAAGAGAAATATCGTTATTTGCGGTAATAATTGTCTGGGTAGACTAGGGATTTCAGCGCTCTTCTTTAAAACAGTATGTTTTGGTTTTATTCAAAGCGGGTCGACAATAAACACTTTTAATTCTTCATTGCACTATAAATTAATTATGTTTATAGCAAAATACTAACATTTTATTGTAATAAAAGTCAAACAATGCGTTACATTTAGGACATTCACAACACCACAAAAATAAAATTATATATTTTTATTAAAAATAATTTTACGTCAGATGATATGAGCTGCTCCAGGGTGGAATTTCCCAGGGGGGCGTTGCCAAGACCCCCACTACACTACACTACGAGTGAAGTGTAGTGGGGGTCTTGGCATTGCGTACCGTTACACTTCTCCTCCAATATGTGTTTCAGTTCATTTTGTAGTTAAATTAACTGTAAATTCATACGTATCAATTTAAATATTGGTATATACAATTTGATCGAAACCGGGAAGCCATTCAACCACGATGAAAGTAAAACTGCGAATGAGCTGTGGATTTTGTCAACTGCAAAAAACTACATAATAACACCCAAATTTATTCAATACTTAAAAGCTTAACAATTTCACTGTTCATCAGTCTCAAGTCAACAATAAATGACAAATTAATGTTCAAGTCAGCTTATATCACAATAGTAACCATTAAATATCACGTGACAAAATAGCTCAGCCCGTGTCGAACTACAAGGAGTGTCGAACTATCGAAGGTTTACTGTACAACAAAACAATAATAATATTTAGAAGCTGGAGTAACAATAATAAGACTCTATGATGATATAACAATCAATGACAAAAAACAAAAGGCAAAACATCTCATAACAATATTATTAACATCAATAATAATATCTGAATGAGCAATAATAATACGAAACAAGTTATAATCGACTGAATAAATATCTAACAACAATGACAAACAATAAACAACAACAAAAATAAATTACTCTAACAACATTCAACGTTTAACAAAAAATCAAGAGGAACGAAGAGAATTTTCTAGGAACTTCTACTGATTAGCTAGTTGAAGGGGCTTCTAACAGTCGTCAGAGAGTCGGAGAAGAAGTCGACAGAAGCTGCAGTATCTCTACTAAACCTAACCAAAACCTAACCTAACCAAAACCTAAACCTAACCTAACCCAAAAAAGTCTAGCCGCTGCTGTAGGCATAATTCGTTGGCCCAAACCTCCTACCGAGACAGCCCTGGATCTAGTACCTCTTGGGATGCGGAAGTCGGTCATGCTCAGGAGTTCGGAGCAGTCCAACATGTCACTGACTAGCTTGAAAAGAAATAGCAGCAGGTCAAGGATTTCTCTTTTGGTGTTGAGAGATGGAACATTGAAGTTGGTATTCAGTTCATTGATAGGTGTATAGAACGTTAATCAACACGATATTTGAGTCCCCAGCAACCTTATAATACCCCCGCCGCAGCAAACCTGCAGACTAAGTGAATTTCCGTTTGCCTGATTTGATTTTCAAATAAATCTATTCAAATAACATTAGGTTTAACGAGCACCTAGGTTTGCTGCCTACAGGGTAATAAAGTGTGTTTTTTAGTAAAATATTAATAGCTTAGTATAAAATAAATAGATTGGGCAAGTTGATTCAAATATATGCATAAACAAGCAAACTACAACAGTTTACTTATTCTCCATAAGAATAACATGGGAATTTTTAATTTACAATTTTCTCCGTAACCAATAACCATACAAAAACACTTCAATATTATTTGTGAATGAATTATTATTATTATTATGAATTATTATTATGATTTGTGTTTATGAATTATTTGTTTTTTTAAGCTCTTCAAAATGGTTTAGAGGAAATTTGGGAAATTTTATGTTTTGAGGGTCAAAAATGAGAAAAACCAATTTTTACCCCATAAATCCCTCCATAAAACCCCGTTCCCATGGTCCGATCATGCTGGTTCGCGAACTCGTTCGAATAAACGTAGGTTTACAGGTTTGTACCAAATTTCATCGAAATCGGATAATTTTTGCTCGAGTTATCGTGCTGACGGACATATATATATATATGAATTTGAACGGATGGTGTTTTTGGCTTCTAGGGACATCAAAATGAAAAAGTAAATCGGTCCCGGGACTAAGTCTTACCACGAGACCTACGGTAATAGCTTATTCCCTATAGGGAAATTCGCTAAAACGTACTTAAACTATCTCCAGCATGTTGATATGCCCAATTTGATAAGGTGGCCATACCACTGAGCCATATTCCATTATTTGGTCGAACAAGAGTTTTATATAGACCCCTAGTGATGAGAAAGTCAAATATATAGTTGATGAAAATATTAAACAAAAGTGAGCCTAGATGCGAGCCTTGTGGAACTCCAGATATGACTGGGGAAGGCCGTGACATAGAGCCGTCACACCTTACAATCAATTCTCTGTACATCAGATAACTTTTCAGCCAGTCCAGCGCACGGCCACACACTCCCATATCAGCAAGTTTAGAAATGAGTATGTCATGATGGACCTTATTAAACGCCTTATCATAATCTAGGTACTGTAAATACAATCAACTTGGCAAGAGTCTGTAAAAGCATAGTAACATACTCTTGGAACAGAAGTAGATCTGTGTTTGTTGAGCGACGACTAGTGAATCCATGTTGTCTGCCAACAATGATACGCATGAAGTAAAACTTGAGGCGATCTATAATTAATGTTTCAAGACTTTAGCTTTAGCTAAGGCTGACTGGATTACGATGGGTCTATAGTTCCTATAGTTCCTAATTTTACCACGTTCACTAGATTTATAAATGGGAATATCACAAAACCTTTCTTGAGTGCTGGGGGGAAAATGCCAGACTTAAGAGGACATTAAATAACACTACGAGGTGTGCTGCAAGTACAGATGCACAGAATTTCAGAACCCACGATTGTACTATATCATCCGGACCAGCACCTTTGTTGCAACTGAGAGCCTGAAGTTTAACTAGGATTTCAGTTGCAGAAACTTCAAAATAAGACAAGGAGGAAATCCAGCCAAAGTCAAACGATCACAGTAGGATCAGCTTGTGAGAAACGGAAGAGAAGTGCTGAGTGCTGTGCAAATGAGCTGTATGCTGTGGTGTTTTCTGAGTCGTCCAGCGTCAATTTAGGCGGCATACTTGGATTTCCTTTAAGGCTATTAACATGCGACCGAAAGGATTTAATATTGGATGGTATGTCTGTCTCAATCCTTCTGATCTAATCATTGTGACATCTTGCCACCAATGTCTTGCGTCTCTTCTCAACCTTCTGAAGCGCTCATAAGATCAAGAACTGAACCCGTAGTTTAAAATATCTTGTGGGTAGTTTTCTTCTTGATGATTAGGTCCTTGAGTTAATTAGTAAACCACTTTAAGCAAATTTACTTAACAAATCTTCTTCACAGGAGTATTAAGCTTGATAATGTTTGACAGGTGAGTGCTAAAGGAAGCCAACTCTACATCATTCAGTTCTCAAGGAACAGGAAAGTTCATCAGTTGGATCATACGGAAAACTTTCTCCGCATCAAGTTTTGAAAGTCCAGTACAAATTTGACGCTGTGAGCAGCATGAGATCGGAAATGATAAAATGATTTATCCAGTGCAAGGTGATGCCTATCTTCAGGCAACACCAGATCAATGGCGGGAACAACATTTGTGCTGGAGATACCAGACAATTCCGGATCCAGGACAACTCCCCTCTGATTCTTGGCCTTATTGAGGTGTTGGAGTTCATGAGAAGCAAGCTAAGTCGATGACGTGACGGGAAGAAGCATCGGATGGCCATGGGGAAGCTTTTCCAGTCTGTGGCATTTGGAAGGTTGAAGGCACCCATCAGCAAACGGTTATCGAAGTCATTGTTCCACCAATACAACTCATCAACAGTTTCACTAAAATTAGCATAGATGGAAGCATTTTAGTTTGGAGGTATATATGTACAACCAACTATAAAACTAGAAGAATCTGAGAAGCATTTAGTAAACACAATTTCAGAATTGCAATTATTAGTCAGGAGGCTGTGTGTGGAAAGGCAGAGAACTGGGAATTGTTAACAGATAACCACCCCCACTCTATTTTGCTCAATGTAGTATTCTTGCTTCGCTCGTTGCAAGCAGTCTGCAGTCAACTGCATTTAACACCTAGTAATGGGTGAAATTGTTGCTTATAAAGACAAAAATTGCCAAAATTTGGCTTTTATTGATTTTAAAAATCAGCTACTCGTTTGTTGTTTACAACCACTTGAAAACATAAACATAAAAAATCTATGGCCACACACAACAAACTTTCGTATGAAACAAGTGATGACTCCTGCCCGTAAGCGTGCCCTAAGTCAAGTCATGAATTCCCAAAGAGTTACATGGAAAGTAACTCGCATAAATGTAAAGAAACATTTTAATTATTTCAAATGTTTTATATAGTGCATCTTCTCTATAACCATGTTTATAATTGAGAATTTTGTTTTTACTACTCTTACTACAAACTTGTAGGTTTGTGTGGTTGGTGAACCTGCTAATGTAAATACTTAGCTAACCTCAAAAATATGTTTAGTGAAAGAAAAGAAACATTCCGGCTGTGTTAAATTATTCTGGATTTCATTTTATTTTTTGAACCTTGATTGAAATGATTTAGCAGTTTATTAAACCGCAACAGATTTTTGGTCGTTAGATTATTGAGTTTAGCACAGGACATATTTGTGGCAAAAATTGACTGTGTTTTCATTTTGTAGACTATTGTTTTGGTAATGTTTTTATTTGTTGAACTTCTCTGTGAGTAAGATTTTCATCGAAGGTAGTGCCTAAGATGTCTTATTATCACTTTTACTCAGTACTTTGTTTATTATCTATTGTTCTTGTGACTGTCACAAGTAGTTATACGAACTTGTCTCCTGTATTTTGGATTCCATCAGGCCAATCGCACAATAGGGTTGTAAGATCTCCTTACACTACACACAGCACTTTGTTGTCAAATATTAAATGTAAGGACGATTTAAGAAGATTATGTCCCAATTTAAACAGTAACAATGACGACTTGACTGTCCTGGAATGCATTCAAACAGCTAAGGTAAGATTTAATTATTCTTTGTTCTTGTAACTTAGCCTACAACTTAGGGCTAATGTAACTTAGACACCCTAGAGCAAAGGGGAGAATTGATTTTGTTCTGCAGAGAAGCTACGATCTATTATCTCATGCAATATTAGTTTGGTATATATATAGGTATATATTTATCGTAAGTTATTAGATATTGTTATCACGGAACTTAATCTCAAGTATATTATAGCCTAAGTTATTGGATATGAACACTAAGCCATAGTGTCTTTTACACTAAGTTATTCTGCGGCAGCTAGTTTGGGTTTAGTTTAGTTAAAGATAACAGGCCTAACAAACAGGGTAATACATGTACCTATAAAAACAAAAGTTGATACGTTGTGTAGTTATATAAATAGAGAAATTTACAAAGACGACTAGTTGTATTTAAGTTTAAAGCCCTCTTTTTTCATGAGTTTATAATAAGGTAAAGTTTTGTGAATTATATTTTGTATGTCATTATGAAACTAAACTGATCATAAAATATTCCAGAGCGCTCTGTAGTACAGACTTTTTTTTTTAAAGTTGAAGAGAAGAGACTCATAACAATAACAGATAATCAATATTACATCCTGAAATATTTTAATTTATAAGATAGGCAGTTTGTGGTGGTGTATTATGAATTACCCCTACAAAGAAAACAGGGACGCTTGTGGTCTAAGAAGTGGCTTTTGGACAGAAATAAGCTCAGTCACATGTTGTTAATGTCTGAACTTGCATTCAGTTACCTAGAAGACTTTAAAAAACTGTTTGCGAATGAATCATGAATCAGGGACTTTTGAAAGAGCTTCTTGGGCTTGTTTCACAGCGGTACAAAAGGAAGATACAGGGATGAGACGATAAATTTGTACCAAAGAGGGTCTTGTTGCTACACTACAGCTTCTAGCGAGTCGTAGAAGCTATGAAAACTTAAATAAACACAATAAACCACAGATAAACAATACTTTGCACACAAAATACTACTAGATACAGCTACCACTCCAGGCTGACTGAGGGTATGTCTGTTTAACCACTTGGCATCGCCCATACACAACCCAACATGTTGGATGCTCATTTCGAGTTAGCCTGTTCTGTCAAGCCGAGCATCGAACCCAACATATCCCTTGAGCACGTGGGATCGGCGCCCACACACAGTCGACCTTGTTGGCCCAGTGTGTTGGAATCGAGCAGCTCGGCCAACATGTTTGACCTGTATGGGTAGCTTTTAGCCCATTGAACAATTCAGCACCATAAGTTAGTATGGTATCATACTTTATGGTATGATATCAACTATGCTATCAACGTCATGGTATCAACTATGCTTGTTTCCGAGGAGTGGTATGGAAGTAGGCTTCCTAATAATTATTAACAATTGCATAAAGACAATTATTAACTATTAGTTATTAACAATTGTTTGGTGTTTTAATAGACCTATAACAAATTCATTACAATATAAGAGAGGCCTAAAAAATAAAATCTCAGTCAAGGTGAAGATTACTAACTTTATTGACTGTTCCAAACTCCTTAGAAACAGTCCAACCATAGATACTAGAACAGTATTTCTATAGACAAATAGAAAAAATATAGTCCGATAGCAGTGCTGCGGTTAGCATATGCTCTGGCGTCCACCGCTAGGATTGCCGTGTAGTTACGGCGCACACTGCTGCAGCGTCTGCTGGTAGCATACAGCAAGTAGCAGACAACGGCAGGGAATTGAACACCGAGCACGCTCTAGCGGCACTTCGCGGAACCTTCCTTTGTTAGTCTATATTTATACTACAGTATTTGTCCATGGTCCAACCAGTAATCTTGCAAAAAATTCAAATTGTGATTCAATTAATCACTTTCTGAATTAGGCTATAACTTTTTATGACTTATGTAGGCCTAGGTATATATCTTAATATCATACATAAGTACGTTACTCTCCAATTTAGGTACAAAAAGACCGACATTAGTTATTATAATAATGCCAGGCATATGTAAAAAGGATGCTGCACTAATATCTTATTACATGGTATATTGGTAGGCCTATACCTACTTAATTTCTTTCTCGGAATCTGACCTTTTTTTGTTTACTGTAACATAATGCGCAAAATGTGTAGGTACTGTACCAGTAGTTTATTTATTTATTTATTGATGTTGTAAGTTATAGCATGAGTTATACCTATGCAATATGTTCTTTTTTATAGAATAAATCAATTTGCTGCAATTTTCAGGGTGATGCAATAGCAACGATAAGTAAAGACTGTCATCACGAACTTTGGACAGTGACAAATAATCTTATGAACAATGACCAACTCAAGATTATTATCACACCAGCATGTCAAAGTGATTGGAAAAGTGAATGGGATAAAGGCAATCTTTTGATAAATGTACTCGATAATGTCAATAATATAAAGAGCCCAGAATGCCGTATTTTACTACAAAGAATTGGACTTGTGGCATTCAGCGACTTCAGAATAATTGGTCACTTTACAAACAGCTGTGAAGAAGATATACAGAGGTTTCAATGCGGAAGAATAGGACTAGACAAAATGGTGAGTATTATTCCAGTTAGCCTGAGTAGCTATGGTTTATGCAACAGAAGACCGTAAAAATTTTTATTAATTAATTTTAGTTTTAATAAATACGAACCAGACTACCTCACTGAGAAAGTCTATGTCATGCCAATTTTTTTTATATTTAACCTAAGATTCAGCTGATATCATCCAAATTCGATCCTTTGGTCATCTAAGTGTTTGCTTTTGTTGGTGTGTTTTGTTGCTTGTTTTTTGTTACCTAATATATTATTTTTTTATTTGTGTCATATTAAATATTACTGAATAAACATAATTAACATTGTAATGGACTAATTCCTAATACAAATCTAGTCTAGTAGGCCTATTTTGCGTACAAAATTTTTATCTCTAAAATTTGTATCTAAAATATTTTTAAAACATTCCTCTTTCTTTCAGATGTTATCCCAAGGATTGACCCTGATGTGTCTTCAGCAGCATTTAGAAGATGGTTTGGCTGCAGAGTGCAAAACGCAAGTTCTGCACTTGTCACAAGTTCAGGCGGACAATATAAAATTTGATCGTCAGCTTTATTTAGCATGCAATGTGGAACTTAACAAGTTCTGCCCCACAGTAAGAATTGGTCTAGGTGAAGCGTACGAGTGCCTGATGCAACATAAGTTCGACACACTTATATCCCAACCGGTAAGTCTTAGAGCTCACAAGCTTCAAATGTTATCTATAGGCTACTTGGTAATTGGTACATGTAAAATATTATTCTCCGGTTTCATTGATAATTTACATGTTGACTTATATTTTGTGTATGCTATATGTATCTTGATGTAAGCATAGTAACTACCATAAAAGTTCTTCTATCTTGATGAAATATTTTGCAGCCTATCAAACTTGTAAATGTATCAAGATTTTGTAAAAATATTTCAAAAACAAACCATTTAGAATTTATCTATTTGATTAAATCCCTATTTTTTATAAGATACAAATAATGCTAAACATCTAAATAATTACCCTCATCTAAATAATTACCCACATTATGTTTTCCCGGATGTCCTATAGGGGTTTTAGTTTTACCTTGGTAAAAATTTTCTGTTTCTTGTTACAGCAATCACAAGTAGTCGCTGGTGACTGTAATTTTACTGGGTCTGCATCTATGTACAAGCCTTAACCTTATACATTTTCATGTAGGCTACTTTGAAAATGTTGGAATAGGTAACAATTTAACAAAGCAACTGTACATTTTTCTAAAGGGTTGCTGCAAAGGGATTTTTGTATTTAGATTATTCAAGTTTTGTTTTTACCCAAAGTTGAGAACACTTTCGAGCAGAACCACCAGTCAGTGCTATGATCTTGTTTGCCTTATTTCCTGACTCAATCACCATGTTTCTTTGCTATCACAATTTGTAACTTAAAACTTGTGTTTGAAAGAAGGAATCGGTTGGACAAATAAAATTAAATATTATTTCTAAAAATGACCAATATTTAAAAAATTAAAAACTTAGCTTACCGTACCTATACACTTTTTTCAGTGTCAAGACCAATTGTTGAGGCACCAGAAGATTATTGTACAAGACTTCTCAGTCAGTAAAGGTTTGGCTCGAGCTTGCAAGGAGGACATAAGGAACTACCGTTGTCGCCGCCTTGTCTCGGATGATAAAGGCGTCCGTCTTGCCCAGATTCTCCTGTGTTTGGAAAACGCTATTAAGAATGGTAGTGATATTCATTCATTTGTGCGAGACCATTTGCCATACATGTTCCTCAAGCAGATTTTGTTGCTTGCTTTTTCACCTTGCACGTTATGTTTGTAGCCTACTAAACTAAAATACTTAATTTTGATGTTTAAAAAGTTAGGTTGTGGTACATAATATGTAGCCTAGTACGATAACTTGCCAATAAAAACCTCAATGCACGTTATCAACGGGCGGGGTCCACTCGGCCACTAAAATTCAATAGCCTACACAACTGTAATGCCCAAGCTGACAATCAAACAGTAGTTCACTCAATAAAATAATAATGCAGTGTGAAGTGACTATATCTTCTATACTTATAAAAGTCAAATACCATTCACTGATCACTGTATCTAAAAAACTACTAACCATAAAAACTCAGGAATTAGTATAGAGATTCTAATAAGGCTCTAGGTGTGCAATAAGAAGCGATTTCAAGAAATTCTATCAGGGAATTTGTCAGGGTTCTGCCCCAGTGGCCTCTTAAAGTTCCCATGAAAAGATTTGTTTACATTTGAACTGATAAATAATTTTTAAATTTTATACTAAGGGAACAGCTGGTTGTATTTATTTGATTGAAATGAAAATATTTGCATTATTTTGTGGCTTGAAAATTTGTGTTTTTACCGCATAACACTTATGGCAATTCATTGTCAAAGGAATTAAAAAAATTGAGATTATGTACACTTGATGATGTTTTTAAGATATTTTTCTCAGCATATTCAGCAACTAAATAACAGTAGGCCTATATTATTTAATGTGTTCAGAATATAATGTCAAAGGATTATTCACAATCGAGTTTCGGCTAATATTTTAAGGGATTGCGTCTGCCTTCTTCTATCACAACTTTATGATTATTTATAATAGGTAGGTGTTCAAGAGATGAGATGAGAAGTGCTTGATAAGTTCAATCACTTCCATCCCTAGACTAACAAAAATGGCAAAATCATACAATTTCAGATGAGTATGTTGCTTTACAATCCCAGTTCACGGTTTTGGCGAGTTATGGATCAATCACCAACTTGTCATTATTAAAAAATATTTACCAAAAACTCTTTAAAACCTTCACAACATTTTCAGGATCCAAGGTGGCCTGGGACTGCCACAAAGAGATGGTGGAGCACCGTCGCATGTTACTTGAAGACTTCCGTCTCTCCCCGGAGATTGTGTCTCACTGCTCCAACGACATCGCGGAGTACTGTAACGGTCTGGAGGCTGGAGGTCGCACCATTCACTGTCTCATGGACCACTCACGACCCAAGCGACGCAAGGAGCGAGTCTCTCCGCCGTGCCTTAGAGCGGTACTATTAATTTATGAGATGGATTTAACCTGTGATCTTTTGTGCAGTGTTTTTGTTTTAGAAGTTTTCAGATGACACCCATGTCATCATTAGTGGGTTAGTGGCTCAAAAGTAGCACAGCAGACGACAAATTTGTAGCAGCTATGTCACTGATTAGTGTCGCGGTGAAGCCACTCAAATTTATCAAGACAGAGCATTATTGTGCAGTATTGGCCCACCCCTGATATTGCTTGATATGCTCTATGTATTGTGTATATATATGTCTCAGGCCCGTGTATACTAGCAAATGCAGGGTAATTTTTTTCAAAAAAATTTAACCCTGTTTGTACTTAAAAATATATACATATATATCTACACAATTAATATAACGGTTGGATTTTAACAACTACTCTAGGAGTATGTATAAGTCAAACAATTGGAATACAATCAATCATTGGATACAATGAAAAAAGATAATAGTATTTAGATAAAATAGACAATAGACACTTTATTTACATATTCGTAGAGAGAATAGAACATGTGTCAACTTATTTAATTCTTTTATCTGCAAACTTGTATAAAAAACAATTGTTGACAATTTTCAGCAAAATTTTGGTGTAGCCAACCTGAGCCTCCTAGCCATTTTATCGACAAATAATCAAAAGTATATTTATTGTTGTTATATCTTTGTTTTAGTTTTATAGTGTGTACACATGAGACATTATAAAAGATGTTTTAGAGGAAAACGGTCCAAGGTTTGGTCTTACAAGACCTACGGAAGTTCTAATAAATAAAGCATCATCAGTTGTCAATATCATTATCCCTATGGTAAATGACAACCAGGTCCATAATTGCTCCTTCACCGATTGATGGTTATCAAAGCTATGCATTTTCATAACAACATGAATCCTTGACCTAATTTAAATTCATACATCTTGTTCTAGTTAATTTATAATTTTACTGTTGCATTATTGAACTTACTTTATAATTAAGGCTTGGTTATTTTAGTTAAAAGTAGAACATTTTTTGCAGCTGGAAGATCTGGTTGAAAAAACAGATATTGGTGAAGATTGGAGAGTGGATCCATACTTGAAGGAAGCTTGCAAACCTGTTGTTGACAAAACATGTCAGGATGTTAGAGGAGGAGATGCAAGGTAAATGAAGTTACTTTGAATAATCAACTATTGATGGAGGTTAAGTATGTACAAAGAATAAGTACCTAGGCTTAACAAATTTTGTTAGAATAGCACGCTTACTTAAACTGGGAATGAGTTCACTTTGGCACGTTTACAAAAATGCACAAACTTCGCACTATACAAAAACATTGCAATATTTCACTGCAGCCAACAGTATTTTCAACCAAGGAAAATGTTTCTTCCTTAGTTGAAAATGCTTACAGTGATATATTTTGATTTTGTGTATATTTAAATTTTTTTTAGTTTCTCGTGCTGAAGTGGACTTTTATCTATTAAGGGAACTATTAATATAAGGGGTCTTCTAGAGATTGAGTTATTTTTACAGGCACCATAGCTGATAGCTGAACGAGACGAGATTCAAACCTTCAATCTATCTCTTGGTCAAACAGAAAATAGAAGACAATTTGGACATTGTTCAGACTGTTGACTGTTGACTGTTGACACAGTCAAAACCTATTATTTTGTCTGTAGAGTCATCAACTGTCTGATGGAGAAGCTGGGCAGTCCGGTGATGACAGAGGACTGTGAAGAAGCTTTGCTGCAGATCCAATACTTTGTGTCACGTGACTACAGGCTAGACCCCCAGCTGTTCAGAGCGTGTCATGCAGAGGCTGTGAAGCTGTGTCACGCACGTCGCGCCTGGCACAGCGAGACCTCCATGAACCCTGACTCAGGTCCTCTAGTGCTGCCTTGTCTATTCAGATACATCTACTACAGTGAGGATAAACATTATACGGTATGATACATTGTAGGTAATATTTAATGAAAACATAGTGATTTTGTAACAAGTGTTCCCAAACGTTACTGTATTTCCAATTCAAGTGTACTGTACTACAAACACATTGTCATTGTACTGGCATAAAACAAAGCTTCTACACTGCTGCTCAGTTTTTGCACAGCAGTTTTTTGTCAAAATAAAACACCATTTAATTTTGTATTTTTTTATGTCCTAGCTTTTAACATAAACTTTAGGCCAACTAGTTGAAGGAAATAAAAGTCTTATTTTTTAAATAAAATTCAAGTTTATAATGCTGATTCCTGAATTCCCCAGTCAGGTATGCGTTAACCATGTGTCCAAATTTAAATATTGAAAAGAAGCATTGGAACTCCTAAAGGCTTAGCCAATGTAGGCCTACTGTATAACTATTGAAGCTACTAAGTTTTATATTTAAGGTAGTTTGTGATGGTAAGGTAGTCCTGTAGCCTGTCGATTTCCTGTCTGAACAAAGCACTTGGCTGGTCTGAGACACGTTTTAATCTATTCTATTTCTGTTAAAATTGCATTTTTGGCCGGATCTTGACGCTCTGCTACCAATATGTGATGATGTGGAGTAGTATGAGTGTAAATGAAGATACCTGGGCCCTATATATCTTCCTCTAACCACTGCCAAATCACGCACATTTCCTGTCGTAACCCAACTCTATTGCAAGGAATTAATCTAACTCGTCAAAGTGCACAATATTACCTTAGCTGCCTATCACAGCCAGCTTTTATGTTCATAATGTATCTATTGTAATATAGTGAACAGAGAAATATATATATATGGACTTATTCTAATTCGTGAAAAAGGTAACTAGACTTAGCAAATTGAATTCTAAATTTGTGATATTGATTGCCAGACCACGACCATTTGAGAACTTAATAAATTACATAATTTAATTACTATTTACCCTAACCTACACCCTTCCCCAACCCCTACGAAGCTATCTAGACATATTCTTATTTAGGTACTTATCCGGACTAAGACGTGCTGTTGGCGGAGACGGAGACACTACACTACTACAACTCTAGTAGATCGCCGCGCGCGCTTGCCGTATCGACTGCGCGCGCATCGTCGTCACGTGACTTGCGCTATTGTAGGGATTCGCTACAAGTTCAAGGCTGCTCTCCTCTCAGGGCTCTAAATAACATCATTAGAGGGTTATGTGGAAATTACGTTTAAAAATTCTCAACAAGTTTGCCAAGAAATCCAGACTACCGGATTATCAAGTCCACTTAGTTACTTTATTTCCATATGAAGTATGTGTATAGGCCTACTTATTGCCATGGTCATTTGTACTCAATTCAGTACTTGGTCCTAAAACACAGTGCTTCCATCTGTCTCTGTCTTCAGCATCTTCTTAAATTCCCAAAAGACTCATGTCTTGCTGGACCTGATCTCGCCAACTAGTTCTTGGTCTTCAACTGGGTCTTCTTCCTTCCATCGTTCCCTTTAGGCCGTCGACACACGGGAAGACTGTTTTCCAACTGAAATCGGCAACCAGTTGGACAAACTAGTCGCCTTCGTCCCGACCAATGTAGTTAGGTGGGACAGTGCACACGGTGCGACTGCGATGCGACCAGTTGAGGACCAGTCGGCGATCAGTCGTTAAGCAACCGGACCTGCCGGTTGCTAGGTGATTTCAGTCGCCTGATTTGAACAACTTTTCGCATATTTGTATTGCGCTTTTCAAGGATCAGATATACCAACTGCGATAACTCTTCGTAAGCACTTTTTGACATCCTGTGTACATAGACTGAAATTTTGCGTCTGTTTCTTGTAATGCAGCAGCAGCTACAAAGAGCCTACATTAAATATTTGTTTTAACATAAGGATGTACCCAACACTTTCTACTCTACGCTTTCTTGATTGTTTATAAAACACTAAGGCTTCTTCATCACTATTACTCATTTCAAACACCATACACAGTACACAGTATCGAACAAAATTAGAACTCATTCACTGTCTCAACTCAATTATAGTCGCGCCCGTGTGCGGATTTAACCAACGCAACTGCAACCGTAATCGCGTCACAAAACAGTTGGTTCAACTTTAGTTGGGTTTCAGTCTTCCCGTGTGTCGACCGCCTTAGAATGTTTTTAGGTTTGATTCTTCTTATCTTCTTAGTACATGTCTAGTCCATCTAAGTCTTCTGCTTCTTATCTCTCCTATAATGTCCGGTTTTTTATACAACTTAATTAATTCCTGGTTAACCTTATTCTTCATTCACTGTTGTCTTTTGTTGGACCAAATATTTGTCTTTTTTCAGTTTCCAGGTTTCTGAGTGTAGATTTGTTTTTTACTCAGTTTTGGTAATTCAAAGCTTGTGATAATCCAACACCCTCTTGGTCCAGTAAGTGTTGGATAACTAGTATCTCTTCCTCCTCTATGCCACTAAAATATCATCTTAGGAACTTACCAGTGTAGTTGTAAAGCTTATCGTTATGTTTCCAGTTGTCGACCAAGTGCAGTGACGAGGTGCGCCGCGTGATGAGACAACGCGCGATGAGTGTGGAGCTACAGCCTGAGGTGGAGTATGAGTGTCTCAATGATCTCGCACGCTACTGTATACATGAGCAGGAGCCTGCTAAGGGGGAGGAGATGTTGTGTCTGCAGGACCACATGGAGAGGTAGCATCTTGTCATACATTACACACCAAGATTAGTTAGTAATTACAGTTAACTTTATGTCACAGTCAAATCTAGTTTTATGTTTATTGACCTAGGCTAACCATTCATCTACAGTTGTAAATTAAAATTTTTTTAAAGCAAGACTGATAATCAGGAAACGTAGCATAAACATAAAGCTCCTAACATTGAAATATTTTTATTTAGCCTATTGTTTTTGTAATATTTTTAATATGTTCTTGTTTTCTTAGGTAAACTTTAAGCAGGGTGTAAGCTTTTGAAAATCTGTTACTTGGTGTCCTGTCTGTTAACAAAATCATAAATACGACTTTTGTGGAAGCCCTGAATTACATATTTATATGAAAAATTTAAGGATATAAATATTTTAATTACATGTAATTGAAGCATTTACATATTTCATTTAATTATTTAATTTTAATTTAATTTAATTAATTTCATGGTTTGGATGTAACCAACAATCTTACTAACCTATTTACCAATTAGGATGTCTCAGAAAAAAATGAATTACCCGAAGTCCTGGAATTTTGAAAGGAATGATAATTTAACACGTTGACTGCGGCCTACTGCTATAGTAGTAACGCGGCACTGGCACTGCTCGCGTCCTACTGCTACAGTAGTAGTGTGCTCGCCTGCCAAACATTGTGTCAGTATGAGCCCAGCACTCGGCCGAGAACATTATGATTGTTGCCAGGCTGTAGCTTAAAATGCGAGCTTTATTTTGATGTAGGTTGGTACTAAACATTCCCCTTAAAATTCCATCTGTCAATGATTTTGTCCCGTTTTTGGGAATTTTCTCTATTCGAGCCATATTACAAAGACTGGTTATTGATCCAGGCAGTGCTGCTCCCTTTTGGTGTTTCAGTGAATTACGTCCACATTCAGGGTAACGCAGAACAATCATCACTGCTCTTTTGTGATTCGTCTTACTGAGATATTTCAATGCCAATAGCGATCGCTGATTCAGTAGCGCACCGGGGGCTCCGCCCGCAGTTTAGGGAGCTCCATAGTGAAGGTTTTCAGCAGTCAACGTGTTAACCCCCTAATTACCACACTTACTAAACCAACTCTTTATTATGTTTCAGTTTGGAAGAGAACTGCAAAAAAGTGATTCACAATTTTACAGAAATACAATCTGAGAACTTGGAGCTGAATCCTCTGATTATGACTCACTGTAGAGCCATCATGAGTCATCATTGTGAGGTGAGTGTGCTGAGATTCATAAGGCTTTATGGGGTTTAAAAGGAGAGGATATATCCAACGTACTTGTATAAGAAACTGAGGCCGAGATGGTGTTACTAACACGATTGTGGTCTTCAGAGTTAAATGTGTTCCAAAAGTCCACAATAGTGTTATTTATTAAACACTTATTACCATGAAAAACTTAATTATTGTATTATGTGTTACTTATGTCTTTAATTGGACTAGAATAATAGGATTTTATTAAAATAAAATATTTGTTAGTTGAACCCATACTAAAAATCTCACATAATTTAATTCTTGTGCTAGAAAACTAATAGCTATTTTCATGACTTCAAGCTTTTGTTACTATCATTATCAATTAATTGATAGCACAAAGACAAATGCCATCTAGGTCCAGGTTTCATCATTGCTCAGAAACATACCTTCAACTATCAGACTTGAAACATATACTAACCTATAGTAATACCAGAAACAAAAGAACCCTGGGCCGTTTTGACCCGCGCAGGTTTGAATGGTACACACACCTACCTGCTTGAACCACGTGATCTTTTCGTTTCTGCACAGGTTGTTTTGTTCTTGGGATGTCTATAACTTTACCTTTCAACTTTCCGAGCTTAACACCCTTAAACATGAGGCTGATTGTAGTAATTATTACTTACCATTGTTAATATTCCTAGACATATTTGCATATTAATGCTTAAGATAAATTGTCAAAACTGAAAACATAAAACAAAACCTTACACAACTACCTGACCATGGCAGGCGGAGCTACAATCGGCCAACGCTGGTGATATGATGGAGTGCCTGATAGAGCACAAGAACGAGCCTGACGTACGCAGCAACTACAAGTGTCGCTCTTCCATCGAACACCATCAGCTGATCTCCCTGAGTGACTACCACTTCACTGTCAAGTTCAAGGAGGCTTGTCGCATCCACGTCGCACGTTACTGTCCGTCTGCTCGGACTAAGGCTAAGGTGCGCTGCGAAGAATATGTATTAAGTTTATTTTAGTATCATATTTTTCAGTCAGGTTTTTTAGTTAGGCTTGTGGTATCAGTTTTAAATCGCAGGTAGCTATTGTTCAATTTGTGTTGATTAAAAAAAAAATAATCTTGGACTATTTTTACTCTGGGTCAGGTCAAAATACCTTCAGGTTTCAGGCCAAAATTTGGGTTGCTTTAGAAAGAATTGCTTTTTTTAAATACTAATTGTTTTACAGTTCTACAATCAGTTTATAAACATCTGTAATAGCGGAAACCTCAGAAACCTCAGAAATCTTCTGCAGTTGCAAGAAAATCGTGAGCATAAAGTAATAACACTTGAATCACTCTATTATAATTTAATCTTGACAGTTAACAACATCATACAATACTATACAATGAAAGAATATGTAGGGTAGTATAAATTATATTTTAAAATATTGTTCCATTAGCAGCTATCTCGTTGTGTAGGTGGTGGAGTGCCTCAGTGAGATAGTGCGTAACGACACCATCTCAGACTCACGCCACAGAGTACCTCGGGACTGTAGACAACAGCTGAAGACACAACTATTGCAGCAGAGAGAGAACATTGACCTGGACCCCAAACTGAGGGAGATGTGTGGCAGTGACATAGAGAAGCTCTGTGGACATGTTAAACATGAGAACGCTCAGGTGAGTCACCAAACTGAGGGAGATGTGTGGCAGTGACATAGAGAAGCTCTGTGGACATGTCAAACATGAGAACGCTCAGGTGAGTCACCAAACTGAGGGAGATGTGTGGCAGTGACATAGAGAAGCTCTGTGGACATGTCAAACATGAGAACGCTCAGGTGAGTCACCAAACTGAGGGAGATGTGTGGCAGTGACATAGAGAAGCTCTGTGGACATGTCTAACATGAGAACGCTCAGTCGAGTCACCAAACTGAGGGAGATGTGAGCAGTGACATAGAGTGGCTCTGTGGACATGTCAAACATGAGAACGCTCAGGTGAATCACCAAACTGAGGGAGATGTGTGGCAGTGACATAGAGTGGCTCTGTGGACATGTCAAACATGAGAACGCTCAGGTGAGTCACCAAACTGAGGGAGATGTGTGGCAGTGACATAGAGAAGCTCTGTGGACATGTCAAACATGAGAACGCTCAGGTGAGTCACCAAACTGAGGGAGATGTGTGGCAGTGACATAGAGAAGCTCTGTGGACATGTCTAACATGAGAACGCTCAGTCGAGTCACCAAACTGAGGGAGATGTGAGCAGTGACATAGAGTGGCTCTGTGGACATGTCAAACATGAGAACGCTCAGGTGAATCACCAAACTGAGGGAGATGTGAGCAGTGACATAGAGTGGCTCTGTGGACATGTCAAACATGAGAACGCTCAGGTGAATCACCAAACTGAGGGAGATGTGTGGCAGTGACATAGAGTGGCTCTGTGGACATGTCAAACATGAGAACGCTCAGGTGAGTCACCAAACTGAGGGAGATGTGAGCAGTGACATAGAGTGGCTCTGTGGACATGTCAAACATGAGAACGCTCAGGTGATTCACCAAACTGAGGGAGATGTGTGGCAGTGACATAGAGAAGCTCTGTGGACATGTCAAACATGAGAACGCTCAGGTGAGTCACCAAACTGAGGGAGATGTGTGGCAGTGACATAGAGTGGCTCTGTGGACATGTCAAACATGAGAACGCTCAGGTGAGTCACCAAACTGAGGGAGATGTGTGGCAGTGACATAGAGTGGCTCTGTAAACATGTCAAACATGAGAACGCTCAGGTGAGTCACCAAACTGAGGGAGATGTGAGCAGTGACATAGAGTGGCTCTGTGGACATGTCAAACATGAGAACGCTCAGGTGAGTCACCAAACTGAGGGAGATGTGTGGCAGTGACATAGAGAAGCTCTGTGGACATGTCAAACATGAGAACGCTCAGGTGAGTCACCAAACTGAGGGAGATGTGTGGCAGTGACATAGAGTGGCTCTGTGGACATGTCAAACATGAGAACGCTCAGGTGAGTCACCAAACTGAGGGAGATGTGTGGCAGTGACATAGAGTGGCTCTGTGGACATGTCAAACATGAGAACGCTCAGGTGAGTCACCAAACTGAGGGAGATGTGTGGCAGAGACATAGAAAAGCTCTGTGGACATGTCAAACATGAGAACGCTCAGGTGAGTCACCAAACTGAGGGAGATGTGTGGCAGTGACATAGAGAAGCTCTGTGGACATGTCAAACATGAGAACGCTCAGGTGAGTCACCAAACTGAGGGAGATGTGTGGCAGTGACATAGAGAAGCTGTGTGGACATGTCAAACATGAGAACGCTCAGGTGAGTCACCAAACTGAGGGAGATGTGTGGCAGTGACATAGAGAAGCTCTGTGGACATGTCAAACATGAGAACGCTCAGGTGAGTCACCAAACTGAGGGAGATGTGTGGCAGTGACATAGAGAAGCTCTGTGGACATGTCAAACATGAGAACGCTCAGGTGAGTCACCAAACTGAGGAAGATGTGTGGCAGTGACATAGAGTGGCTCTGTGGACATGTCAAACATGAGAACGCTCAGGTGAGTCACCAAACTGAGGGAGATGTGAGCAGTGACATAGAGTGGCTCTGTGGACATGTCAAACATGAGAACGCTCAGGTGAATCACCAAACTGAGGGAGATGTGTGGCAGTGACATAGAGAAGCTGTGTGGACATGTCGAACATGAGAACGCTCAGGTGAGTCACCAAACTGTGGGAGATGTGAGCAGTGACATAGAGTGGCTCTGTGGACATGTCAAACATGAGAACGCTCAGGTGAATCACCAAACTGAGGGAGATGTGTGGCAGTGACATAGAGAAGCTGTGTGGACATGTCAAACATGAGAACGCCCAGGTGAGTCACCAAAATGAGGGAGATGTGTGGCAGTGACATAGAGAAGCTCTGTGGACATGTCAAACATGAGAACGCTCAGGTGAGTCACCAAACTGAGGGAGATGTGTGGCAGGACATAGAGAAGCTCTGTGGACATGTCAAACATGAGAACGCCCAGGTGAGTCACCAAACTGAGGGAGATGTGTGGCAGTGACATAGAGAAGCTCTGTGGACATGTCAAACATGAGAACGCCCAGGTGAGTCACCAAACTGAGGGAGATGTGTGGCAGTAACATAGAGAAGCTCTGTGGACATGTCAAACATGAGAACGCCCAGGTGAGTCACCAAACTGAGGGAGATGTGTGGCAGTAACATAGAGAAGCTCTGTGGACATGTCAAACATGAGAACGCTCAGGTGAGTCACCAAACTGAGGGAGATGTGTGGCAGTGACATAGAGAAGCTGTGTGGACATGTCAAACATGAGAACGCTCAGGTGAGTCACCAAACTGAGGGAGATGTGTGGCAGTGACATAGAGAAGCTCTGTGGACATGTCAGACATGAGAACGCTCAGGTGAGTCACCAAACTGAGGGAGATGTGTGGCAGTGACATAGAGAAGCTGTGTGGACATGTCAAACATGAGAACGCTCAGGTGAGTCACCAAACTGAGGGAGATGTGTGGCAGTGACATAGAGAAGCTCTGTGGACATGTCAAACATGAGAACGCTCAGGTGAGTCACCAAACTGAGGGAGATGTGTGGCAGTGACATAGAGAAGCTCTGTAGACATGTCAAACATGAGAACGCTCAGGTGAGTCACTAAACTGAGGGAGATGTGTGGCAGTGACATAGAGAAGCTCCATAGACATGTCAAACATGAGAACGCTCAGGTGAGTCACCAAACTGAGGGAGATGTGTGGCAGTGATAAATTTTGTAACAAACATTTGTTTTTGCATCAAAATTTTGTTATTACAAAGCTACACTTTATTTATACCGATCATACGTTATACTGATCATCCACTCTGAATAAGGTTTATTAACTTTTTTTAGGTTTTGGAATGCTTGGAGGAAAAGAAGAAGAACTTGAGTGCCAGTTGTCATAGGCGCATATTCAACATTGAGTTGCAAGATTTCACGGACAGCTCCACTGACTATACTCTACTGACGTCCTGCAAGCCGATGATGAGACTTTACTGCCAGCAATATGACAAGTCACAGGCCCTCTCTTGTCTCAAGGTGGGCTTTTGTTAAAAACAAAACAAAAAGGTTTTGTTTGAAAAAAGTTTGTTAGGTTAGGTTGAGGTTAACATCTGGGGTATTTAAATTGACAGTCCAATCAGTATCATTTGTGGAAAACCCCTAACACTTCACCACCATTAGCGTATACAAGAGTATACAAGATTGCTGTTATCTTCATAAATTATTAATCTTGATTGATTATTCATTTGTTAATAATTATTTTTACTAATTAATCCTCAAGTTGAGGCATTTCCTCAGCTACCTGCATTCAGAACTTACACTACCTAGATAATTACTTTGAATATTTTGAATGTCCTCAGAAACACAAAGACGAAGGAGGGTTTGACAGCAAGTGCCGGCTGGTGGTGATGAGACGGATGATAGAGCAGTCAACAGACTACAGGTTCAATCCCCTGCTGGCCGTTGGTTGCCGCATGGACATAGACAAGTTCTGTCACGCTGTAGTGGATCATCAACCTAGGGACCAGGAACTTCAGGGAAAAGTCATCAAGTGTCTCAAGGTAGAGTGTCTGATAGCAAAGTAAAGAATTGGCTATGTTATATAATATGGGCTTGTTGTAAATTGAGAAACAGTGGGTCTGTTAGCTCAAGTGAATTAAATATTTATCTACAGGTTGTTTTCAAAGTGTTTGTTTCATTCCATAAGCAGACTCAACAATTAATAAAAAACCAAATAAAAATGCAGTAGAACTACAACCGCCCAAATCAATTGGGACCTTTAGATTTTTACTGAAATTTGGGATATTTCATAGAAAATGCTTGATTGAGTCCATGAAATACATAGTAAATATGTGTATGCGGTTTGAGCTTAGCCTAAAATCTCGACTGATCGAGGACCAAGAAAAAATGTAGAAGAGAAGATTTCATGATTGAAAAATCACACGATAGCTGTGTTTGCAAACGACAATGATAAAGTTTCGGTATCCGCAGGAGAAGATTTTCATTTACACATGACTGTGGGAAATGTTCATGATCTTTCTGCATTCACGGCTTCTGCCTTCTATGACAACGATTGTGTGTTATTTTGCACAGCTTATTACTGTAGTTTTAGGTTTTAAAATGCTTTGTAAGTGATTCAAATAGTTGGCGATTCGGTTGTTGGAGTTTGGGTAATTGGAGCACAACGGTAATTAAAAACTTTGGACATCTAGGAATTATGTGAACTCAGCCTTATCATCATGTGTCTGTCAAGATCAGTAACTGGACGACTAGAGTTGTTATTCTGTCGCTCGTTCTGATGCTAGCTAGGTAGTAAAGTGAATCCTTCATCCTGCTCTCGGGAGTTTGGAAATTTCATGTGCTAAAGATATTTTTAAAAAGGTAGGAAACGTTTGCAAATGTGTATAAGTAAATACAATATGCTTAGTTTGTTACAACGTAGCTTGCCATATTATGCTTTTCATTTAGATTGATTTTCCTTTGACCAAATTATAAAATTGTATCAATTTAATCAAAATTTCCAGCTAAGTTCTGACCAGGGAATCTTTACAAAGATCGTTTTAATCTGTTATCATTTTTACTTATGATAATTATAATTATATGAAGAAATTACACCCGCTTTTTTTTATGTAAAGGTATTCAAGCTAGAGATACATTTGAAACTTAACTGTGCAGTTATTACTATTTAATTTTTATTTTTATTTGTTCAGGCAAAGTTCAGAGAAGGTAAGCTGCGCAACGAGTGTGAGGCTCAGATGGCCAATGTCCTACGTGAGGCTGCACTTGACTACAAACTGAACCCATTGTTGAAAACTCTTTGTCAAGACGAGGTACTGTTATTTTAGTTCATCAATTATGCAATCAGTATCATGTAAATAGTGCTTTTAAGTTATCATTTAGAAAAAAAAAACTGCTGGACATCTGACCTACACAAATTTTGAAATTTACTTTACTAAATGTGTTCAATTATGTTCTGAATCCAGAAATTATAATTATTTTTCTTATAAAAGTCTGGGTCGTCTATTAGCATAGCACTTATCGGCTATAAGTCTGTTGACTGGCAGTTTTAAGAGTTTTAAATAAAAAAACATGTATATATATTTATAGCCTCGCACAACAATGCTTAGAAAATTCAATTTCAAACTCTTGATCAACAAATGAGTCAATCAATATCCTAATGTATGACCATTGACTGCAGATCAACAAGCTGTGTTATGACAAGGACGATGGAAAGGGAGGCACAGAAGAGTGTCTGAAGGTAGCACTACTTAGAGGCCACATCAGCAGTAGGGCCTGCAAACTGGAAGTGGCTGGCCTCATAGAGGAGGCCAAGGCGGACATACACGTAGACCCTCTGTTGCACAAGGCCTGCAGTCTCGATCTCAACAAGTTCTGCTTCGACGTGGAACAAGGCGCAGGCAGACGTTAGTAACTTGTGTTTGGTAGATTGACTTTAGATACTGAAGTTTATAATCTATATGGACTATCTGTAGCCTATTTATTATTCAAAAGGAACATAGTTCATGAGCCACTCACAGAATGTGCTACAGTCGCAAATTATATTTTCTTGCTTGGTTTTACTTTCTCCCCCTATACATAGTATATGGAGAAAGTATTGTTTTCGTCAAAATTTTCGAGTTTGAGTTTTGAGTGGATATATCCGTTTTGGGGCCCCCTGACAACCCAAAAAAGTGGTTTTCGAAGTGATGTCTGTGTGTGTGGATGTGGACAGAGCTACAGACCAGATTTGTAGTCCGATTTTGATAAAATTTTGTTTGTAAGTACTAATCCATGGTGTCACCAGGCTTTTATTTAATTTTTTCAAAATTTTGATTTTTAATGGTGATTTTCTCATAAAAACCCATAAAATCACAGAAAAATCGCATTCTCTCAAAAATGGCCTGAACGACTTTAATCAAAATTGAGTATGTTATAGTTCTTTGAATACTAAACAAAATGGTACAAATCCCATTACCGTAAAAATTGTGGTTCAAAAGCTATTCTCCCATAAAAAATCAGAAAATAAAAAAAAACTTGTGTTGATTAAAGTTAATGTGCTTTGGGCCTTATAATTCTAAACCAAATAGTGAAACCCCCCACTGCTGAAACAAGTAAGTTACGGTTCAAAAGTGTTTGCAACTTTGATGATTTTCCCTTTAAAATATCATAGTTAGGCCTACTCCTACCGCTTAAACCCATGCTAAAGGTTGTTGACAAGCTAGTGAAAATGTATGTGTCGGATTGCTGAAACCGTTTATTGATTTTAGTGCTGAGATGGTTGATTTGACATAAAAAATATGCTATAGCTTACACTAGTTATCCTATTAATTTGGATTCTTTAAAAAAAATGGCATATTTCTACATGGCATTTCTGTCAGTGGCTCAATTAACTACTTCCATTTTTATCAAAAATTGGTGACAACTTTAACATGGGGTGGAATGTCTAGTTCTACCAATAGTCAAAGATACATATGCAGTAACTAATTAACTATAAACACAATTAGAATGTGACTAATTTGAGTTGCAACACAAATAATCCATTCATCCTGTCAAAATCTAATAAAAAAGTTAAATACCTGTAGTACTGTCAGTGAGCCTGGATTTAGGTCAGCAACCCAGGTTTTGAACCTAAAGATTCATTTTCAATCTGATACCATAGTTAAAACACATTCCAAACACACACATCCTCTTTATAACTGGGAAGAGTCGTTAAACACACGAAACACGAACACGAAAACACTAGTCATCAAACAAAATGTCAATATCTGACTGAACTGTTCACCATAATTTTACGTTGGCCTCTGCAACCAATCTTTTAACGCCTCAGACACTATTCACACTTTTTATTGCCTTGATTCCATACTATCAGACCCTTAAATTTCCATTCCTGAGAAGTTACAAAATAGAACTTGTAATATTTGAACTATTCAAAAATATTATAAAATGTCTTCTTTTCTTTTTCAGAAATCCAGTGTCTACTGAATGTTATGGCCCAGCACAAATATTTGCAGTCAGAGTGTGAAAAAATGTTACATCAAAGAATGGAAATGTTCAAGAATGCTGATGCCCAGGTATTATACTTTATAATAAATTTTGAAATTGTGGCATGGATCAGTTGTAATGTAATGTAAGCTGTGTATGTAGCGTGGTTCATACAATTGTTTATAATATGACAACAATCAAAGAAAGAAACACACTTTCAATCATGTAAAATACTTCAATTGGTTCTATGTTTGTACTCACAACTCCCGACAAATAACCTGTTAGTAAGTGGGCCTAGTAGTTGCATCTAATCAGAACCTAGGTTGAAACGTTGTTTCTCCTTGTTAAGATAATATTTAAATACAAAAAAAATTTCATTTTGTGTTTTGCCTTCCAGATTACTTCTCAATAATATTACAATAATAATATCAATAGTATTACAGTAACATTACAAAAACAATATCTAAGTTAGGATGATTTCACTTCAAGAAAATGTAATAATGCAGCCTATGTTATAGAGTTTAAAGTGTTGTTTTGTCAAGATTATTTCTATTTGCCACTTGCCCTGGTTTAGAACTGAACCCTCAAAACGCAAGCAAATTTCAATTTGCATCTTAGTCACACTAGTTTACCCTCAATGTCCTAGGATGTTCTCATAAAAAGTAATAATAATAGTCCTTTCATTATACAGTCCAACCTTGATATCACGAACCTCAGTATAACTTATTCCTTGATTTAATATAGCGATTTTTTTAACCCTTCATGGTGATTCATGGGTTACGTGGTGCGAGCGCCGTGTGGGCCGAGCGCCGGGTGGGGCGAGCGCCGCGCGGGCTACCCGCTATGTTGTGACAGTTTAGACAGCAATAATCAACTGTACTGTACACTTATAATCGTCAAATTATCCATGTTTTTGATAATTGTATCCGTATATGCGAGATTTTGAAACCTTTTATTAACTTAGTGTTTTAGAGCGTTCTTATACCTAATCATAATAGCATAAAAGTTTGCTATTAACCTAACCTAACCTAACCAAACCAAACCAAACCTAACTCAAACCAAACCTAACATAACAGCTGGCTCTCTGAACTTGGACATGTGCCGCGGGGGACCCGAAGTGACCACCGCGAGGAGTGGGACAAGCCCTACCACAGAGGCATGTATTAACCTCGTCACTTCATTGAGCAGACCCTTACAGGATTTATGGCTTCGGCGCTCGCACTACTAAATTAGCCACGGCGCTCGCCCCACCCGGCACTCGCAACACGACACCGATTCATGGGTGTTAATGATTTTAAACCACAATCGGTGACACACAGAGTTTTTTTTCTGGGTGTTGAAACATTAGGCAAATAATGTTTTTTATACATATTAATTAATTCAAAAACAAATAAATCCATGTATAATCAATAAAATTTTAACATGAAATCAAGAAAAACTCTTACTTTACATGTTTATAAAAATATATAGCTAACAAAACCAACACAACAGCACCAATGGTGACTCACGGAGCCCGGCTCCATGCTACGAGACTCTTTAGGCTTCAAATGATTAATAGGGGTTTTGTGGGGGAGGTGTGAGATGAAAAAAATTTATAATTGGTTCATAGAAAGATGCTTGTGAGATATTTGTCTATAAAAAACAAATGCGCCCTGAGGAAAACTCAGTCTTATACAGTTATACAGTCTTGATTTGCAGCATAGCAAGCTAAGGCTTTTAGATATAGCTTTTTTATTGTGTATATGTTGTATAGTTGAGTTTTTATATTTATTTATTTTAACAAATGTCATTTTTGTTGAAAATGTCTTTCATTTGGTATACAGTCACTTTTAACTCCGACCAATGGTTATCGAGATGTAGCTAAAAACAAAAAAAGTGCCTTGTTTTCACTAATAGCCGCTAGAGCTCAACTCATATTTATGGGGACTTGGCATAATCTTCCCTAGGTACCTAGAAATAAGTGTGCAAAGATTCAAAACTTTCGGATCTTTCTGGAGGTTAAACTTTTTTTTGACTGGACTATTAAGATTTCTCACGTAAGGTTTGCTTCCAGATTGGTGCTCAGCCTCAAAACGTTGGTGATTTGATTGTGCAAGTGTCAAATTCACCATCGAGACGCTACTTTATCCTAGTGACGCTCACTTTTGTGGGGATGGTCTTCATCATAGGAATGTTCTTTGGAAGAGTTACAAGAAGAACAATAATGAAGAACAAGTGATGTCCTAAAATGTCCACCATGTCTGTTTCTTGGAATGGTGACCATGTCCTAAAAATATGACCAAATTCTGTAATTTATTTTGCAGATTTTAGGTAAAGTTTTATTTTAATGTACATAGTTATCTTATTAGTTCAGGAGATGTACTCATAGAGGTCTAACAGATGGTTTATTGTATAGAAATGATTATATATATATGTTAGCTTTTGAACAGAATCAAACTAATTATTAAGATTAAGGTATACTATGGCGTTTAAACTTGTGTATTTTATTGTAGCTTTTTCATTATATTTACTATACATATTGATTAACTGTTAGTGTAGATTTGGTATTAATGACATATTGAATTTATTTGTATCATTCATGACTAATGACTATTATTGCACAACTTTTTTATAAAACCAAAAAAAATATGTACCTGAATTGACCATGCTTGTTGCTGCCATAATTTTGCTCTGATGTAGGCAGTTCTTTAGCCAAGTATAATATAAGGACGAGATTGAGATGCACCGTAGCATCGTTACTGACATGACAAGCTTTTCATTTTTCAAGAACGTTGATGAGTTAGTAAACTAATGTGACTGACACTATGTTGAATATTTAAATGCAACAACGAATGAAGAATTAGTACGAGAAAAGTTTTATGATCGATTTATCTGCTGATTTTCTATCCAAGATTAATTTTGTCCCAATAGGTGAAGACAGCATTGAATCTTGAAAATAAATTTATAGTCCTATTAATAAAGTTGGCACATATAGATAGGATAGGTTATAATCTTAAGTATCAACAAGTGAATGTTTTTTTCCAGTTGTAAATTGTAACCACTGATAAAAACAATATTGTTGAATATAGCAACCTTTTTACAATCTTACACGGCAGCTTTGTGGCGCCTAGCAGAAAGATTAAATAGAGGAATAGGATGTGAACACAAACGCCTAGTCTTAAGGGTTTTTGTTAAATTTTCCATTCGTGAAAGCCTGCTATCCTTTCAAAAATCCTTGAAAGATCGATTAATAGGCCTATAGATGTATTGATCAATATTTATCTTCTTATATTTAACATACCCAGTAATGAGTCACACTATTGAAAAATGTATAAATAATAAGCATTTTAACATGAGAATACTCTTAGTGGCAAGTTGAATTTTGTCCTCTTTTGAATCTAGAACTGGAATAACTTGGTCGCTATGTGCAACTCTATTCTTGTTTCAATATCTAGTATATAGCTATTAATAATAATGATTAAAAATATAGAGATCCTAAACAAGATTCATTTTTTAACTGGGTTTTTTTATTTTCTAATAACCATTTTTTTTTACAAAATTTGAGTCGTAACAATCAATCCACTGCCCTATATTGTGCAAACTGATGGAAAATCATTATAATTTCTATGATTTGACCCTATATGGTTTATTATGTAGGAAATTAGTGTAATTCAATTTATGCCTCCTTTGTATTTATATAGCCTACTTGTTTAATATATTATGTTTTACATTCAACAACATTGATGTTGTCTTTGAGAATTTATGTATTCCTGCTATATTTGTAAATAAAATGTTAAAAATATAGTACTATTTTTATAATTTATGTATACAAGTGATATTACATGTAAGTAAGGCTATAACTATAATCGTTGCTATGTGTATTATATAGATAAGCAATAAACTAACTGCACAGTAAATTTGAATATTTTGTTGTTATTGTTACCTTTAGAAACCAAGAAAAGCTTTATAATAACTGATTTTGATTAAGTGAAATTTACATGATGTTTTGTGAACAGTTTACCTGTTTTTGTTTCTTTGAAATGACTGAATTTTAAATTTGTATAAATAAATCATACTATATAAATTATGGAATTTCTTTTCATATCTGAATGTTATTAACTTATATATTCTCAATATCTGCACTCCTTGATAAGGTTAATTGTAGTTATTCTTCAATCAATCAATAAGTGAATAATTTCAAGGCTTATCAGACATTGAACTTCCTTCAAAACATTTTTCATATTTTATTACAGGACATGAAGTGCCCACTCTTATGTTATGGCAAAGTAAGAATGAGCTCTTTACTCTCATCAGCAAACTCAAGTCTAACCTATGGCAAAAAGTCAAAATAAAATCAAAATATAGTTTTACTTTAAAGTTACATGAAAATTGATAATAAAGAGAGAGGGATACAGGTCCACGACGTAGGGGGTGGTGAAGGAAGTAGTAAAGGTGGGCAGTATTGAGTGTGGGAATGGATTAATGTATCTGCAATGCTAAAATGCTATAGAAAGAGACTGTAGACTGTAGGTTAAAATTATTATAAAGCACGAATCGTTACATATTTCGATACGTATTCAATCGTTTACAATAGAAATTTACAACTGAGATGACAACAGCTGAGTTTTACTCCATAGAGGCTAAAAACAAATTTTATTCCCTAAAGAGTAAAAATGCTACTTTAGACCCGCAACGCATGCACCAATGACGACTGTTTTTACTGCAGTATGACAAAAACAATATAATATGAACCCTTGATGACTCCGCTCAATTTTGTGGATGCGTCTGCGAACGCCACCTAGTTTAAATGGGTAGATCAGTAATAATTATATTGGAGCCATAAAAGTCAATAAGTTTGTTCTTTAGATGTATAGTAATAGTAGTAGGCTATATCCATATTTTCCATCTAAAAGGCGTCCATGATAAAAAGGTCACGTGACGAGACCACCCCCCTCCCCCCCCCCCAACCGTGCCAGGCCGAGTCGAACGCTTCCGAATCATACCGAAAATAGGCGAGGTCCTTTAGAACACCGTGTATCGTCTGTCTGGAAAGGGGTAGCGGATTTTTATCCCCCTGGAATTTTACCCCCTGGGCAAACGTGACGTCACAAACCAGGGGGTAAAATTCCGGCCGCGAACTTTTGAGTTTCGCGACATCAGCTCGATGGATTAAACGCGGAATTAAACATATATTTTCACGGTTGTGAGTTTAATCAGAACACATCAAATTATAAAAACTTAGAATGTATGGCCCGGATTTTTACCCCCCGGAATTTTACCCCCGGAATTTTACCCCCCGGATTTTTACCCCCGGAATTTTACCCCCCGGATTTTTACCCCCGGAATTTTACCCCCTGGCCAGATATAAATTAGTGAGAATGATTAATTATCGTCATTCAGTTTTAATTTAATGGTAAACATTTTATTATTAAGTAGCCTATCTTAACTTATATGTAACATTAACTAATCGAACAGGGTTTTAATATTAATTTTGAGATTCGAGTGTCAGGATACGATCTTTGAAGCCAACTGTTGGTTAATATGATCAAAATAAAACAGCGAATTCTGTTTACTTAGTTGAGATTACAAAATCAATAAATAAAGATAGGCTACTAAATAATGAAATGTTAACAATTAATTAAAAACAGAAATAAGAAAATCAATCATTCAATTTCTAAAATCAGCCAGGGGGTAAAATTCCGGGGGGTAAAATTCCGGGGGTAAAATTCCGGCCCGTACATCTTCAGTTCCTAAACGCTAGTTATATGGACAGGGGGTAAAATTCCGGTTTTTATCGCTAATCTAATTAATCACGCTCTGACTATTTTCATTATACTTCCAAATCCTCGGGGGTAAAATTCCGGCCGCGAACAAACTTTTGGCCACTCAGGTTACTACGTCATAGTGACGTCAGCTTTGCCCAGGGGGATCAAATTCCGGCGACCCTCTGGAAACGGTACAGCGGAATTAAAATCGGAACGGAGCATCGGAGCAATTTCTCGTTATTTCCTTCTTTATAATAAAAATATAGAAAGAAAAAAAAATATGCCATTCCAAATATACAGGTAGGCCTATATAGAGCCATGAACAAAAATAGTAATTTATGCCCAATGAATGTTAAATTACTGGAGATCTTCAAAACTTATTTCTTCTACAAATAATTCAACAAAAATATTTAGATTTATTTACATAGATCTATTTACAATCTCCTTCACCTTGGAAACTGGAACGTAACAATTTAATGTTTGGCCTATTATGAGGACCCGGGCGTTTTGACAGCAATAGCGACGGTTCAGCTATGCTCTGTACGATTCGGAAGTGTTCATCACTGCGCGGTGGTGGGAATTGTTCCTCCAGAGAAGGTCTCGTTGCAGGATAATCAAATTTATGATTTTTGATTGATTAATACAGTATCTTGAGCTTAAATGATTCAAACAATCAATAGCTCAAATTAAATCCTATAATTTTCTGATTAATTAAAGACTAAAACATATAGAAAAACATTAACAATACTGGAGCTATTGATTTTTACACATAGTAAAACCTTATGAAAAATAATTTTTATGTTGGTTGTTCACCTTGCGTTTGCTTGAAACTTGTCCGATTTGAATAACTAATAGCTTAAGAAAGCCAGTATTTTACTGAAGGTTCTTAGATTAATATATATATAGGATTGTAAAATTATAACTGGTGAAGGTACATCTTAATTTGAAGAGTTTGAAAATAAATCACATCATGTGTTTCGGTCGAGTAGTACAGTAGGTAAATATTTGCCGATGCTTTATGTGAAAACTTGGCATGCATGCCTTCAATTTGAGACCTCGATCATGAAAATCGATCGGGTAGAAGAGCCAAACGAACTCGGATAAACCAAATTTAACTCCCATAAGAAATACATGGGGAGCAAATTTTGTTTACGTATATGCTGAGTGGGTTTATAGATAAATATGCTTGATGGCAAATCTGTTCGTGCATACCTTCAATTTGAGACCTCAATCATGAAAATCGGTCGGGTAGAAGAGCCAAACGAACTCGGAAAAGAAAAACCAAGTTTTTTTTAATATATAAGATTCACCCCCTCCCCCTTTTTTCTTTATACCGGAAGAAGCACACAGGGCACGGTAGCGGACTTTTAGGAAATGGTCAAGGATATCATAAAGAACATCTGTGCCAAAATTCAGCTTTATATCTCGCATTTCCGGGTTTCCATGATTTTTTACCTAGATTGACTAGGCTATTCATCGCTGATACGAGAATCGTGTGAACTTCAAACTTTGTTTCCGCCGCAGTTGTGGTTTTGGATTCAGTGAAGATTAAAGGAAATAAACGATCTCGTAGAGGGTTTTCTTTCAGAGGAAATCCTATCTTTCTACAGTGCGTTGTTTCGGATTTTTATCCGATTTTTGAAATCTAATGTTTCTTTTCTCGTGCTCCTTTTCCTACTCTGTTTAAGAATTGGATGGGTAAATGAAACAAACTACATGTATACTTGCGACTAGCACTTGGTGTAACCAAGTTGTGAAATTGAAATTAGTACCCATATAAAATATTTGAAGACCGTGTATGAAATCCATGCTGCGTTACAAACATGATAATATTAATGAACACAAAGATATCTTGGATAATTTATGTACCTTCCTATCAGATAGTCATGCGGTTGAGCGGAGGCAATTTTAAGGTATGTTTCTGTTCGCAGTAATCGCAGTGTCTGGGTTGTGTATAGTTCGTGTAAAGACTATTAAACCAGGAAATATTAGACCTTAAATAATATGGTTTCAAACCAAGCTTCTCAATAATTATTAGAAGCGTAACTTATGTTGAATTAACCCAAAATTTGCAGAAAACGTTTGCCCGACATCAGTAGGTACACTTGAACATACTGAAACGTGCATCAAAACACACATACAATTATAATAGGTTTGTTTTATTAGGTTGGTTATTAGGTTTAATTTATAATAGGTTCAGGAGTCACTAGTATCTGAACCCTTTTCACCATCAATGAGGGGTAGACATAAAATCGTATACCACACCAAGACAACGTACATCTCTTTGAAATCGTTGTTTGTAAAGTAACAATGTTTGCTCTCAATATTGCTTAGTAACGAAAATCATTTCGAGATTCGTTCACTCAAGAGTTTTACTGGCTTTTAACTCATGGAATGGTTCTGGATTTAACTCCCGCGGGTGCTGCTGCAGGTGGAATTATTAACCTTACCCCAGACAGACGTTATGATGACGTCATCTCATTAGTGGTCCTCATGTATGTGGTCTCCGGATGTTCCAGAGTTTAGGACAATGAACGAGACATGAACTTCCAGCAAACGTGGTAAGTTCTTTGAATGTAATCAGACACGGTGTTGTATGGCTATTAGGAGATCACAACCATGTAATTTAGACTCAGACAACCGCTATGTCGGTAATTTAAATGCTAATCGATATATGAAACTCTCTCGGTCATGTTTATTCAATTATTCTATGAAACGTCATAGTTAACGTTTGTCCACACCTCGATTGTTTAACGTAAGCAAACAGAATGGGTTTAGTATTGTTTACTTGACGATTAGTTGTGTGGTCATCTATAGACTGATACTATCAAACGTGGGTTTTAGTTGATCGGTCCATATATTGTTAAAGTACGGTATAATTAGTCTGTAGTATCCTAACGATGTTGAACTGTAGATAATCTTAAAGATGATGATAAGCGATAAACCAGAGCGATACAAGTTAGATTATTTTCAGGAGGACCGTTTTCAATAGCCAGTTCAAGAAAATTCGATTTTACTATTATTTTTCTCATTCCCTAGAAAACGTTAATTATTTGGGGGCATGGATTCTCCAATATGCCGCCCACTTACAAGCGAGAGGATAGGTCCGGGGAAAAGATTTTAAGCAAAGTAAAACAAAGAAAGTAAA